AGTAACAAATAAATTAAATTAACAAAATGACATTCTTCTATAATTTTTTTAAAATAAATGGTGACAGTGGCGGTGGTGGATGGTGCTGACGATGGTAGTGGAGGTGGAAAACGTTAGTGGTGTAGGTGGTGGTGTTCGAAGGTGGCGGCAGTGGCAATGGTGGAAGGCGGCGGCGGCGGCGGCGGCGAAAGGCGGCAGTGGTGGAAGGCGGTGGCAGTAGTGTGGTGGTGGAAGGAGATTGTGCTGTAGGTGGTAGTGGTGGAATCCAATTGAGGTGACTGTGGTGGTGGTGGAAGACAGTGGAGGTGGAGGTGGTAGTGGTGGAAGGTGATAGCAATGGTGGTGATGGCAGTGGTGGTGATGGCAGTGGTGGTGATGGAAGGCGGTGGTGGTGGCGAAAAGCAGCAGCGACGGTGGTGGTGGTGGTGGTGGCGGTGGTGGGTGGTGGAAGGCGATGGCGGTGATGAAATGCGGCAGCAGTGGTGGTGGTGAAAGGCGGCGGCGGTAGTGGTGGAAGGTGGAAGGTGATGGCAATGGTGGAAGGTGGCGGCGGCAGTGGAAGGCGGCGATGGCAGTAGGGTGGTGGTGGTGGTGGTGGTGGTGGTGGTGAAAGGAGATTGTGGTGTAGGTGGCTGCGGTGGAAGCCAATGGAGGTGATTGTGGTGGTGGTGCAAGGCAGTGGAGGTGGCGGTGGTAGAAGGTGGTGGCGGTGGTGGTGGTGGAAGGCAGTGGAAGGTGATGGAAGGCGTTGGCCGTGATGAAAGGCTATGGTGGTGAAATGAGGCGATGGTAGTGATGGCGGTGGTGGTGGTGGTGGATGGCGATGGAAGGCGATGAAGGTAGTGAAAGGAGGTGAAGGTGGTGGAAGGCGGTGGCGGCAGTGGTGGTGGAAGGCGGTGGCTGGCTGTAGTGAAAGGCGATGGCAACAGTGGTGAAAGGCGATGGCGGCGGTGGCGGTGGCGGTGGCGGTGGCGGTGGTGGAAGGTGGTGGCAGTAGTGGTGGTGAAAGGCGGCGGTGGTGGTGAAAGGCGGCGGTAGGAAGGCAGTGTCGGTGGTGAAAGGCGGTGGCGGCGGCGGTGGTGGTGGAATGCGGTGGGCGATGGCAAAAGCCGGTGGCGGTGGTGGTGGTGGAAGGCAGTGGGGGTGAAAGGCGAAGGTGGTTGTGGTGGAAGGTAGTGGTGGTTTTTGGACTTAGAACATGGTTTTTTAGAAAGTTGATTTTTTGAAAAAATTTACTTAGGAATGAAATGGTCATTCCATAGGTTTAGTTGTGGAATGAATTTTCATTCCCAAGAATGGATTTTCATTCTAATAAAATAACCATTCCCACTTTAAATTGCATACCAAATAAAAGGAATGGTTGGAATAGACTTTCCATTCTTGCACACTAAACGCAACATAAATAGATAGCTTGGTTTTGAGTTCTGCAAGACTCACGAGATTGTGAGGCACCACAGAGTGAGGAAGACTCGAATGGAGTTACAGAACGGATGAAATAATGCTATTAAAGATGGCACGGTGTATGTTGTCCAATGCAGGGTTAGACAAAAGGTTTTGGGCTTAAGCTGTTTCCACTGCTTGTTACTTGGTGAACCAGTCTCCAACAACTCCTATCAACACTAAGACTCTAGAGGAGGTATTATCTGGTTCTCCTGCTAGTTACAGAGAATATTTGGGTGTCCTGCATATACTCATGTGAATGAGGGGAAGCTTGAACCCAAGGCTAAGAAATGCATATTTCTTGGTTATCAGCCCGGGGTCAAGGGATACAGATAATGGTTCCTAGAGGCTTTGGGAAAGAAGATACTTGTTAGCAGGGATGTGACCTTTCATGAGTTTGCGATGCTTAGTCCGCAGAAGAAGCTAGATGATTCAGGGAAAGCTAAGGGTGTCAGTGGGGTGGAGCATGTAAAGGTTTAGTTAGAGGATAATCCTGATCAGTCGACTAATAAACAGGTGCAGTTTCGGGCTGAGGGAGATACACAGTTGTAGCAGTAAAGTGTGGCTAGAGATAGGACTAGGAGGGAGATTAGGCCACCTGAGAAGTATGGGTTTTCACATGCTGATTCAATTGCTTATGCACTTGCTGTGGTAAAGGATATTGATGAGCAGGTACCATGTATTTATCATGAGACCATCACAGGTAGAGAGTCAGCACAGTGGTCTGTTGCCATAAGTGAGGTGATCGAGTCTCTTCATACGAACCAAACTTGGGAGCTAGTCACTAAGGGTCAGAAGAAGGGAAGAACTCCATGGTGGAAGATGCAACGTACAAGGCAAGCTTGGTGGCGAAGGGCTATACACAGAGGGAAGGGGTGTACTTTAATGAAGTGTTTTCTCCCGTGGTGAAACAAGGCTCAATTCAAGTGTTACTTGTTATGGTTGCTGCTCTGTATGACTTAGAGCTTGAGCAGCTTGATGTCTAGACTACTTTCTTGCATGGTGAGTTGGAAGAGCAGTTTTTTTTTTTTTTTTTTTTGAAAAATAAATAATTCATTAAAAAAAGCGTTCAAGAGAGGAACGCATCCCTAACAAATCAGAAAAACCTAGAACCCTAAGGCCCCAAGGAAGCCAAAAACTCAATAGCAGATTTATATGCATCAACCTGAAGGGTTTGAGATTCTGAGACAGGAGGATCATGTTAGTCTACTGAAGAAGTCCTTGTATGTGCTAAAGCAGTCTCCCAAACAGTGGTATAAACGATTTGACACCTTTATGGTTGGGAATGGATACTGTACGAATAAGTTTGATGGTTGTGTGTATCATAGTAGGCGCTCATATGATTCGTATTTGTACTTCTTGTTGTATGTTAATGACATGTTGATAGCATGTAAGAACATGTCTAAAATCAACATGTTGAAGGCTCAGCTTAGTGGTGAATTTGAGATGAAGGATCTTGGTGTTATAAAGAGAATATTGGGTATGGAAATTCACAAGGATAGAGGAGCGGACAAATTGTATTTGTGACAGAGGGAATACATTAAAAAGGTGCTCGAACGCTTTGGTATACAAGGATTAAAGCTAGTAAGTCCTCCATTAGCTACCTATTTTAGACTTTCAGCACGATTGTCACCACAGACCGAGGAGGAGGTGGAACACGTCTCGTGTTCCTTATGCTAGTGCAATTGGTAGCATCATGTATGATATGGCGTGCACCAGGCCAGACATTTCACATGTAGTTAGTGTAGTTCGCAGATACATGGATAGACCTGGGAAGGTCCATTAGCAGGCTATGAAGTGGATATTGCGGTACTTGCAAGGCACTACAGATGTTGGCTTAATCTATGACAGAGGTAGCATCACGTGTGGTAGTGTTCTTGGATATGTTGATTGGATTATGCTGGAGATCTTGATACGACAAGGTAGTTGACAGGGTATGTCTTCACTCTTTGTGGGAGTGTGATCAGTTGTAAGGTGACTTTGCAGCCCATAGTTGCATTGTCTACAACCAAGGCCGAGTACATGAAAGTGACAGAGGCAGTTAAGGAAGCTACATGGTTGAAAGGCTTGGTTGGTAATTTGGAATTGCAGCAGGATGATTTGACTATATTTTGCGACAACCTAGGGATGGGAAATTCCCCATCCTCGCCCCGCCCCAAAAGGGGCGGGTTTGGGGACCCTTTTATGCAAACGGGATGGGGATGGGGATAATTTTTGAAAACCCAGCGGAGGCCGTTTAGGGTGTACATTTACTAAAATATCCTTATAAATTATGATATATTACTAAACTATATTAAGAAAAATTAAGTGTTAAAAAAATTATAGTGTATATTAAACGGGTATGGGGATTGCGGGGCAGGGATGGGGAATGGAGGGCGGGTATGGGGATTGAAGTAAAATTTTAAACGAGGATGGGGGCGGGGATGAGGATAAAAAAAAAATTTAACAGGGATGGGAATGGGGAATGAGATCCCCGCCCCATTGCCATCCCTGCAATGCCATATATCTGATTAAAAATCAGTTTTCCATGAGAGGACAAAGCATATTGATGTTAGCGATCACTTCATCAGAGATGTGGTTGAACAGGGTGCTATTCCAGTGAAGAAGATTGGGACAACAAAGAATACGACATATATGATGACTAAGGTCTTTCTTACTCTCAAATTCAGACAGCATAGGGTGCTATTACAGTGAGGAAGATTGGGACAGCAGAGAATACGACAGATATAATGACTAAGGTCATTCCTACTCTCAAGTTCACCCATTGTCTGGACTTGATTGGTACTTGTAGGAGTTAAGGCCCTTAGGGGCCTGTCGAGGAGGTGAAAGGAGTAGCTGGAGATTGTGGAGCTTGGCGTAATTCAAGCCAAGGTGGAGATTTGTGATGTTGTTGACCCGTTTTTGCTTGTGGGTCGTGGACCCTAATTAGTACTCTCTTGTAACCGAATATATAAGGGTGTTTAGGGTATGGAATGAATTACCGAGAGACACTGAATATCGCAGAGAAAGAGAGTGGGGCTAAAACTTGTAACCTCCTATTTTTCGGATAGTGAAGACTTTAGCCGGATCTCCACCGTAGACGTAGGCTTTGTCGAACCACGTATAAATTTGTGTTCTTTGTGTGTGGTGTGATTATTTTGTATCGTGATTCTTGGTTTTATCTTGGGTTCACTCTGTTTGTCATAACATCCCCGATAACTCCACAAGGCACTAATGGCAAGCTTAGGAGTAGGGCAGAATGAACTTTTCAAGAAAGCACCACAAACTACAAAATCCATTCATTAGTGAATTTGAAATCATCTGTTTTGATGTGAAAGGAGAGAAGAGGGGGTGGTTTTCAGATATTCAGAATCCTACATCCTCGAAGAAGCTACTTCGTGGCCCAACCTAATTAATTACCTAGTGAGAAATTTATTTTTGCTTTAAAATGACAAAGCAAGTTTTAAGGTATATAACTAGCTGCAATTTTAGCTATACATGAAGGCAGGGACCAATTGCATGTTGCATGTGAAACCAAAACTACCATGATATTACTGGACTAATAAAGATAGATTGCTGACCTTATTTAGGGTTGTTACTTTTCCTGGAGGAGAAGCCCTAGATACATTTCTGTCATCATCCAGTAGTAAGTATCGGTACCCGCTCACATGATATGCATTCTCACCACCCCATCCTTTTGATAGTTTCTCCTCAACTTTCAACATCTTTAGAGATGCCTAGCATATTCAGAATGTAAAAAAGAAAATATTCAGCAAACAGATAATAATTATATGTCAATCATTAAATATCCTAAAAAACAGAGTTTAATCCAAATCCAAGAGAAGGGTAGATTATGCTCTTCTGCTGAGGAGACTGTCGAGTTTTTGGCTTCCCTGGGGCCTAGGGGTTCCAGGTGTTTGTGGTTTTGTTAGGGACGCGTTCCCCTTTTGATCGCTTTTTATCGAATTGTTTACTTATCAAAAAAATCCAAATCCAAGAGAAGCTTCCAATGTACATTTATGACCACTTTAAGGGGAGAGAAAATTAAAAGAATGCTTAAATAGATAAACAAACAACTGATTTGTTGAGAATGGGAATACTGAACAAATTTAATACCAATTCCAGATAAAGTGCATATGATAAAGACTCAAAATCTTTGTACAAGTGGCAACAAATTACATAAAACATTGCAATGGATAGAATTGCAACATCATGAAATCAAAATTCTTTTTTTTTTTTTTCTTTTTCCTTTTTTTTTTTTTGCCCCCTTGGGGGGGAGATCCAAATTCTTTGACAGATAACTCATTAGATCAACATAATTTCCACTACTTGGGCCCAACAATTCACAATTAATGTGAATAGGAATTTAGATATGATGTTAATCATAGAGTCAAGGGTGAATGGTTTAAATGGAGGAGTGCACCTGAAAGATTGGGTGATCGGCGTATCCCTCAAATATTGAAAAAGAAGTTCTATAGAACAACTATGAGACCAATAATACTAATGTGACCATCATGTTGAGCATATATATATATATATATATATTCACAAAGTCGTGGCAGAAATGCTTATGTATAATACGAATGTGTGGCAAGACAAGAAATGATAGAATACTGAGATGGTTGAAGTGGCATACTTTAGAGAAAAAAAAAAAAAAAAAAAAAAAAAGAAGATGGTTTGGACATGTACAAAGAAGAAGATCACCAAGTGCTCCAGTTAGGACAAGTGACATGGTAACCATGAAGGGATAGGAGAGGAAGGGGAATGTTGGCTTTAAGAGATACTCTAATCAAGAGTAAAGTATAAGAAGAAGAAGAAAAAGAGAAGAAAGAGAATGAGAGAAAGAGAGATGGGAAAAGAGAGAAAGAATGAAAGAATGCTTTCATCCTTCCACCACATTCTATTTATACTAACAAGTTTCAGAAATTATACATAAGCCGCAATATTATATAAGTAATAACAAATAAGCCCCTAACAATACTCTCCCTCAAGCTCGTGCAAAGATATCCAGCTTGACTAACATATTTTGCAAGCAAGTCTTGCTCAATGTTATTAAAGGCCCAAGGCGCACCAAGGCACCAGAGGTCCTTTGGAGCCTAAGCGCTAGGCGCGCGCCTAAGTGAACTGAGGCATACAATTGAAAATTTAAACTACCATAAAAACATTAATATCTCATATGTCATATCAATATTCTAAAAATTAATATCAAATATTAAAAAGTAAATCCATCAACTAAACAAGCATCCGACAACCACAAAATAGAGCACAAATTTGTTTTCTTGAAAGGCAAAGCAAAAATTGTTTTTTTGAATGGCAAAACAAAGCACAAAAAGAAATAAATGTATTAACAAAAAATAAATAAATTGTTCACAAGAAAAGAAAAGAAAAAATAGAGCCAAAAAAAAAAAGGCAGAGATAGAAGAAGTAGATGAAAAAGAGAAGTAGAAGAGAAGAGAGAAAAAGTGTTAAAAGAAAAAAAGGAGAAAAAATATAGCCCCAAAAAAAAAAAGACAGAGAGAGAAGCGAACTAGATGAAGAGAGAGATGTAAACAAAGATAAGAAAAGAGTAAAGGAGAAGAGAGGAGAGAGAAGTAAACGAGAAGAGAGAGAGACAAAGAAGAAAGAATTGACATGGCTTCGTCGTTCATCAATGCAACTAGGGCTTCATCATTCGTCTCACTCTTTCTCTGTTTGGTTGAAACTTTGACTCTTGGGCTTTCTTATTTGTTTAAGTTGCCAAAAGTACCCTTTTCGGCTTAAGAAATAGAATAATCATAGTTTTTTTTTAAATGAGCGAGGCACGCCTGACAAATAGGACGACGCACAAGCGAAGTGCGCGCCTAGTAAACATCAGTGAGCTTGGGAAGACAACAGACACTAGACCTGCGCCTCAAGCCTAGGCGTGCCTTTAACAACACTAGTCTTGCTCACACACTTAGTCAAAACATCGGCAACCTGATCATGTGTGTTGACGTATGGAGTACAAATCAGCCCAAGACGAAGTTTTTCCTTAATGAACGATCGAGTTCGATGTGCTTTGTCATGTCATGTTGAACTAGATTTTGGGTAAAGCCAGTAGCAGCCTTATTGTCACAATAAAACTCCATTGATTCACAAACAGGATAACCCAACTCACCCAACATCGTTCGTAGCCATAACAATTCACAAACTCCATGCGCCATGGATCTAAACTCAAGTCTCTGCACTAAACCTAGCTACTACAGACTGTTTCTTGCTTCTCTATGAAACAAGATTACCTCCAATAAATGTGCAATATCCTGAAGTAGATCGTCGATCTATCATAGACCTTACCTAATCAGCATCAGTATAGGCTTCAACACTCAAGTTGCCATGACGGCCAAATAATATCCCATTACCAGGTGAACCCTTGAGGTAGCGAAGAACATGATGATCTGCCTCAAGGTGAGATGTACGTGGAGCATGCATAAACTAACTAATCACACTAACAGCGTAGGCAATATCCGGGCGCGTGAGAGATAGATAAATCAGTCTCCTAACCAATCGTTGAAATCTTCCCACATCATCTAAGGGGTCTCCATCTACATCATTAAGCCTATGGTTCTGCTCAACGGGAATATCAATAGGTCTAGCTCCAAGCCTGCCTGTTTCAAACAACAAATCTAACACATACTTATGTTGAGAAATGAACACCCCTTTCTTCGATCTGCACACCTCGATGCCAAGAAAGTACCTCAATAATCCGAGGTCTTTAACCTCGAACTTTGTCCCCAAGAATGACTTCATTCGATGAATCTCTTCTAGATCATTTCCAAAGATAACAATATCATTAACATATACAATAAGGGCAGTGGTGCAGCCTTGGTGCTTCTTGATGAAGAGAGTATTATCTGCCTAACTCTGTATGTACCCTACTTCTTTCACTGCAGTGTTGAACCTCTCAAACCAAGCACGTGGCGACTGCTTCAATCCATACAAGGCTTTATTTAGCTTGCACACTAAATTCTGACCATTGGCAAGCTTAAACCCTAATGGCATAGTGTGGATGTGGTAAAGCCACGTCACCTAGTCAAATTTAGGTGGCCCCTACGACATCATTCCTACAACCAAGAAAGACAAAATCACAACAAAGTACAAGAGTGGGTCGAGGAGTACGGCAACTCAACCACAAATCGTCGATCGACGGGCCTAGAACCTCGATCCAACCCAACCACGAATTGTCAATCGATAGGCCTAGAACCTCGATCCGACCCAACCACAAATCGTCGATCGACGGGCTTAGAACCTCGATCCGACCCAACCACGAATCGTCGATCGACGGGCCTAGAACCTCGATCCGACCCAACCACGAATCGTCAATCGACGGGCTTAGAACCTCGATCCGACAAACCATGAATCGTCGATCAACGGACCTAGAACCTTGATCTGATCCAATCACGAATCGTCGATCAACGAGCATGAAGCATCAATCAACGGGCCTAGAGCCTCGACCTGGTTTAACCAAAATGAAGAGTAAGTGGTAGGACTCTTCGTCATCAGGGGGATACAGAATGGACTTTGGAATGGAGGAAAGAAAGCTAGTCAAGTCTTGCAAAGACGAGACCCAATTCGAGGACCAGAGTGAGAGATAGCTGGAGTAAACATCGCTGCCGTTATACACGATCCTACCTCGGTCATTTAAGGATGAGCGCTACACTTATTAAACGGGTCCTGAAGGATAGGATCAAGGCAGCGTGGTCTTTATGATTATGCAGGCCCTACCCTATCTAGAAGGAGGCCCAATAAGTGCCTTTTAAACTGGCCTAGGGCTATAAAAGGAAGGAGTAGGAAAAGATAAAGGCAGGCTGCTTTTGAATATACACTCTAGGCATCATCTCTCCTGCCATCACTCCAAAATCGTCACTTTGGGCTAGCTTTCTCTCCCTTCTTCAGCTCTTCTGTTTTCTTCACATTGTTTTAAGTGATATATCCCAGACTCTTTTGACTTTTTTATTGGCATCAAAGCAATAGGTATCTACACACAGTCATATACACCTCTTCCTCCAAATCACCATGAAGGAAAGCATTCTTTACATCCAGCTGATGTAAAGGCCAATTCAAATTAGCTGCCAAAGAAAGGAGGACACTTATAGAGTTCATCTTGGCAACTGGAGCAAATGTTTTCGGATAATCAATCTCATAGGTCTGAGTGAAGCCCTTTGCAACTAACCGGGCTTTATATCTCTCAATCGTTCCGTCTGCATGATACTTTATTATGTAGACCCATTTACAGCTTACGGGTTTCTTACCCCTAAGGAATGGAACAATATCCCAAGTACCATTCTTCCTAAGGGCCTTCATCTCTTCAAGCATGGCTTCCTTCCATGGAGTTTGACTGAAAGCATCTGAAATACTAGAAGGAACAGATACAGAGGAGATACACAAAGTGAAAGCACGATATGTTGGAGATAACGTATCATAAGATACAAACTGAGATATGGGATGTTTAGTACAACTACGAACACCCTTACGATAGGCAATAGGGACATCAAGATCAACAAGAATGCTATTAGGAAAAGAATCAGGAGTATCAATGTCAACTGAGGAATTACCTCGATCGAGGGAGACTTCTCGGTCCTGGGTTGAGTCAATGGCTTGTTTTGCCCTCCTATTGAAGACAATTGGCTGTTTTCCATGCTGTAGATCATTAGTGTTAGGAGGACTACACGTAGGCACCTTAGTAAGAAGCTCCCCCTGAATGGGAACAAGCAAAGGAAGG